AGCATATTAGAATGATTTCTGAAGATCATGTGACACTGAAGACTGGAGTAATGATGCTGAAAATTCAGCTTTGCATCACAGGAATAAAGTATATTTTAAAGTATATTAAAATAGAAAACCTTTATTTTAAATTGCAATAATATTTCACAATATTACTGTTTTCTGTGTTTCTGATCAAATAAATGCAGCCTTGATGAGCAGAAGAGACTTCTTTAAAAAAAGATTACAAATCTTATTTCTAAGCACTACAGTTGTAAAAATTAATCATAACAGGAAATGCAATATGGCTATGTGTCACAGTGTCAACAGGGAAGGTATCATTAAACTTTGACACCATTGCATGCTGTATTTGTAAAGTCAAACTCCTCACCCTTCTTATTATTGTCTATAGCTCTTGGATATTATGTGGTGGCGATCAACGGCAGTCATCCAATGATCAGATGGGAGATGGAGAGAGGCTTAGACATGACTATTTCATCTGTTGCTGGAGAGAGTTATACAGTTGATGTGAGTTTCTCTGTAGTGGAGACTTCTGTTTTTCAATGATTTATGATTTATGATTTTACAAGTTTAGTGGCCTTTTTCTGGAAATGTAAAAAATGAATTAAAAGTAAATGATTTTGTGTGTGTGTGTGTTAAGGTTGATGTTAGTGCTGCACTACAGGGATGGGTCGGTGAGAGCTTTCAAATCCTTGTTGATGGAAAAAAGGTGAAACCCATCTGGAAAGACACACATTTCATCATCAAGTACCGTTCTGACGCCCTTTTTGACTTTCCCGACTGGTTCGGCTTCAGCAAACGACAGTTCAAGGTGTGTTTTAATAAATGAGCAGGCCTCTGATGAGTTCTAGTATTGAGAATATGACTGGATATCTGATCTTGCAGGTCTCTTACCATGGAAGAGGAGATCAACACCCAAAATGTTCTGTGAAACCGCAAATATCTTCTGAAAACAGGCTTCGGTCTGTGGAAACTGAAGCCCCAGATGAGGAGACCATTAAAACACCTTAAAGGACTGTTTTATTGTAAATAAACCTTTATTATGTCAGCAGTAATACAAATTAAAAAATTCATAAAGAAATGGAGATCATTGGAATTTAATCTTAATTATAATTCTGTTGAAGCAGAAAGATTTACATCCTCACATTGTAAACTAGCAAACACAAGATAGTTACAATACTTTTTTAAATGGGTCACTTTATGCAAAAGTGCCCGAATGTGTTCCATTCATTGCTTTAAATGGGTCATATCATAAGGAATCAAATTTTCCTTGATCTTTTCGGATAACTGAAATCAAGCCAAACAAATAGATGATTTCGCAACTTTTGATGTCACACAGAGTAAAACATCACGCTATACTCTAGTTTTACACATTTCTTGTGCTGTGTAGCACCTACACTCTGCATGTACTTCTAGAGAATCAATAGAAATGTGTAGTTAGTTATACTATACCTAATAATTTCAGTCTGACATTTCAGCACTGATTAGTTTGTAATCCTGTCATGTAATGCAGACTTTGCAAAGAGGCTGAGGATTTTGCTGGACTATATTTCACGCAACAGGAAACCTGCAATCTGGTGTGTGAGCAGAACTTGGCGCTTTTAAAGGCACAGTAATAAAAAACTGACCATTCAAATCTAAAGTTCACAGAGAGGTGTGAAATAGGTTATGAAAACTAAACTTTTTTTTATGACAAATCTTTACTAACCTTACATGTTGACCTTGATGGAAAAAAACTAAAGCATGATATGACCCGTTTAAAACATTTCTTCAAATACCTTATACTGGGATATTAATGGTAAAAACAGCCTTTTTTTTATCTTCTTTTGTTGATTTGTAAAATGTACATATCATTTTGCAATGAAATGCCTTTGTGATCATCACTGTGAACGCTTCACACTTTTCTTGCCACATCCTCTCACTAACTGACAAACCATTAACCAAAAGATCTTATCTACACTGATGTGTTTGCACTACTCTTTCATCTGCTGTTAAATCTGTATGGAACAGTTCAGGGCAAGAGCAGAAGGGTTGATGCTGCTTTGGTGATGGTCTGGATGTACTCTTTGTAGTCACTGCCACCGTAGCTGAGCATCAGGTGATTTATGATTCCCACGACACACATGAGTGACAGGAAGAAGAGGATGCGTTTCCCGAACAGGAAGCCGGGAGTGCTGTCAGACATACAAGCAGAATATCTGTCAACAAGTCTGGTGTGTTTAAAACACAGCTGGGTTACAACATGTGGTTGATGTGTCTGTTTAAAGCAAAATCCAGGGTTGAAACTTTTAAGTGATGTAATCACTTAAGTTGTAACCATATCATACATTTGCAATAGTTTAATGACTAACCTTTGTATTGAGATTAACTTTAGGCAACATCTAATGCTGTTGGAATGCATAACAACACACATTTGTGTTTCATGAAGTTTTAAGGTCAGTTTACTCTAATGCATCTTTAGCACAAGAAAACATTTTTGATGTTCAAAAGGGCTTATTTGTTCACAGTTATGGATTTGTACGTTTAAAAATCTTACCTCTGGCAAGTCTGCCCCAAGTAGCCAACAAAGTACTTCTGCCGGACCACAAGGTAGATAATGCCAGCAAAGGCAGCTGGAGCTGTAACAAAAATGGTTTAATGACTTTGAAAGTGTTCTTATTTAAATTATATAGGATCATTTCCAAGAAAGTTATTGTACAGGTAATTTTCTCACGTAGGGGGATTTTATTAGGGCTGACTCTTATTATATATTCGTCGGTTCCTTAGCAACTCAATTACTATTTCAGTGGTATTCAAAAATAGAGCTTAAGTTATGTAGACAAATATTTGCACATGGTTCATAAAATAAATTACTAGTCAGGAAATGCAAACCATTTCTACTACATTACAAAGGGGTATTTTCTTTGGTCTGATCCTATCACTATATTGTAGTGAAAGTTAAAAATAACACAGAAAATAACAAAGGCACTTTCACTTATATATATATATATATATATATATATATATATATAAACTTGATTACGTGTTTATTCAATCACTTAAATTACTTTTTTTTTTAAATGACGAATGTGATGAATTGAATTGTACCTTGGCTGAGGCAGATACCAGCACACCACAGTACTGCCAGAAATGTGGGGTACGTGTCCATGCAGTTTCGACTGAGATAGTGAGAAAACAGTAAATACATAAATCATTATGAAGCAGATCATTTTATTAATTAATAACTTTTTATACAGTTTCACAAGCTAACTCTTATCTGCTAACTAACTCTTGAATTTCATTTGACCAAACTGATGTAAAGACGTGCTGTCAGTTCTTCTTGTAGAACTTCCATGTAGCTTTTCGAAATATTATGAAAGAGCAGTTACTTCCTCTCTGGTGGTGGTTAATGACACTTTTATGATTGCATCTAAACTAAGATAAACTAGCAAACCAGAATCCAACAGTCTAGATATGCAACTGAAAATAATCCTGTTAAGTTTGGTTTATTTTGCATATTATATTCTATACATTCTATATATAGAGAATATAATAATCCACATTCATAATTCACTTAAAATTAGCCCATTTGCTTTAATGTAGACTTCAAGAAACTTTAAATAAGTGAAAAATTAAATGTACAGATATAGGCTATCAATATGCGCAGACCAGTGCAACCCTTTTGCAACATTAACAGTATGTAAATAAATCAGGAAATTAGTTTCCAGGAAAATTTCGAACTGTTATGCAAAAGAATCTACACCAACACTATTTCATAAACTAATTATTTGTCTATATATATAAAAAGCTCTTATAAAATTGTTAATTTGAAACTTGAATCAATATGTTACTCACTTTGCACAAGACAAACGCTCAAAAGCTGCAGAATGAGGTTTAGAATGTGGACCGGTGCATTCTTTCTCAACCTTTAAGGCGAAGAACACTAGAGGAGAAGGATGTATTAAAGATTGGACATATATGGTAAGTTTTAATGCATTTCCATGTATATTTAGGCTACATTATGGACTAATTCCTGGTAGTTGTATAAACACAGCAGTGTGTTCAAAGATAATTTGCATACACCTTCTGCATAAACATCATTCAAGTATCCAAAATAATAATAATAAAATCTAAATGTCATACCATTCTGAACGACGCTGAGAAGTGTGACCAGCACCAGTAAGAAAATGTTGTCCATCACGGCAACAAACATGTTCTCTAGTATGAACTGCCGGTCTGTCTCAGACTGCTGTCTGATCATTTTAGCATCACAGATAACACCACCGCTAAACTGATGCGTTTCCTTATGGGAGGGTCACTTCTGCTTCATGATGAAATGGCACATTTTGTACTTTTTGAAAGAAAATATGTGAGTGTGGAAACCCTGTTCCTGATATAGCTGCATTTTCCGTTGCACAGCTCATCCTATCAGTTGGTATTTTAGGATAAACTAAAGTTTAACCATCTGAATGTGAAGTTGAAACCGACGGTCTGTTGACGGTCTCGCAGTGAAAGACTGCCCTCTGCTGGCTGAAACCGTTTTGTTTTGCTGGTCTTAGCTGGTTTCAGCTGGTCTTCCACTCTATATATACGGGTTGTGGATGTCATCAAACACTGCATATTTTGGGTGTCTCTTTAATCTGACTCACCTGAATCAACTCATCAGCTCATTAGCAGTGTCTACGTCTCATGAAATGCTTGTCAAATAGGGGAACTAAGATGTGCATTTTCAGGAGGCCTCTATATCCAGGACCGAAGACATCTACTCTAAACCAGCCAGCAGACCAAATGGTATTGTCACATTTATATTTAAACACTAAATATAAGGAGTACATTTCATGTAGTTAAACAAGCCTGGTGAATTTGGTTATTGTATATAACTTGTCATTAAAGTAATTATTTGAGATATTGGTGCTGCGCTGTTTTGGTCTTGAAACTTAAAATTGATGCTGGTCAGAATAACTGCTATAACTCAAACAGAAAAGCTGACAAAGCAAGACAACTGAACGTCACCTGTGATATTTCAGCTGTCAATATATCATATGCTAAATAAATTAGCAGACAGTAAGTTGAGTCTTACCTACAGTGGCCCCACAAAGTATTTGTCACACTTTAAGATGTCAAAATTTTATTAACATGTTCTGCAGTTTGACAGCCAGAAAGTAGCCAAGACATTTGTCTTATTTTTAACAATATATCTGTTTAATTTGATAACCAACAAATTTACTTTTGTAAGACGTTTTAATTGAACAATGTGCTTGTGCTATTATTTCTTTAAAACAAATGCCATTTGTTTTGATGCTTTGTTATAAAGATAATACATGCATACATTTTTATTTAAGCCTCAAGTGTCTAACTACTTTTTTTGGCCACTGCTTGTTTTCACACTCTTAAAATAACCAAACTCAAGACCTTTTTAAGTAGACCAAAAACTGAACAAAGTGAAGCTTTTCACTGAAATTTTTTTTTTCATTCACATTTTCCATGCCCAGTTAAAAATGGACTGACATGGTTACTTGAATATTGTAATATTGATCATAATGATTATTATTATTATTAAAATTTATTTTTAATTAAGGCAATGTATACGTTCTGGGTCCAACTATATTAATATTTTGTCTCAAGTACTCCACTATAAGCAAAAAGCACTACTGCACCCAAAAAAGGAGACATTGTTAAAATATGAACACTTATTACTCCCTTATAATGGTAATGTGATCATGAAATTTAAAGTGCAAAATGATAGCACATAGTTGTTTACAATGTACAGATTTCACGTGTCATGGAAAACCTGGAGAAATGTTTAGAATAAAAATGAATGGAAATGCTTATGTAATTGCTGATAAATACATATGTCCAATTACACTACTGTTCAAAAGTTTGAATCAGTATTTTTTTTTTCATTGAAGATGCATTAATTTGATCAATTGACAGTAAAGACATGTTAAAAGAACTCTATTTCAAATAAATGGTATTCAAATAATTTTACTGTATTTTATCAAATATATGCAGCTTTGGTAAGCATTAGAGACTTTCGTACTCTTATAATTCATAATCAAGTGCAAGTGCTTTAAAATATTTTATTGGTTAGAAATGACTGTTTTTAAAACATTCCTATCCAACAAAAAGTGTAGGAAATATAACAAAGAGTGAAAAATTTAAGGGGGTCTGAATACTTTCCGTACCCACTGTATATATATAATCAGTTTGAAAGTGAAGCGTTTTACTCAATTAAATGCCAGTAACCACAACATATTCAATTTTTGGGACCATTTAATATGAACTGCTTTAAATGCAGTGATAACCATAAAAAAAGACCACAACAACAAAAAAATTATTAAACAACTGTACAATGATGTACAAACCTTAAATGCATTGTGCATACTTTGCTCTTCAAACATCGCATACTCTGCACCCTTTAATATTCTTTATTCTTCAAGTATATCAGACAAAATATGAACTCTGGATTCATTTAACTGATGATGTACCACAGGCTTTCCTAACAAAAGTCTTGCATTCCCAATATGAAACAACAAAGAAGAGTTCTTAGGAACAACTTTTGACATCAGACCAAACTTTAATTTTGTAAAATCTAAAAGCTATTTATGATCAGAAAAATATATCTAAGCCATTAAAATCGGTGTTCTCAATTGCAGTCTGGTCCATCCCTGATTGTATGTATTCATCAAGATTCAATACAGAGTCATTAGGAGAGGAAGGGTAGGTTAAAGTTGCTTCTGGAACCACAGTTGCTACACAAGGATTTTGCGGTGCGCTTCCAACGGTCTTTTCCACATTCTGGCCGTTGTTCAACATCTCTAGGAGCCCCGTGCTGTCAGGTGAGAGGTTACTGACGGTCGTTGCAGGAGACAAAAGCTCAGCGAAGAACTGGTCATACGCTGGACTGTCGTACGCCGACGTACTAGAGGTGACAGAGTAGGGCGACGAGAGAGCCGTGCTGTCCGGTTTCGGTGCGGATTCTCCTGCACTTCCCAAAAGCTGGTTTAATTTGGCCAGTTTCTTTTTCTTAGCCTTGAGCTTTTTCAGTAGCTTCAGTCTGAGGGATTCTGTAGTGGTAATAGGCTGCTGGTCTGCCAAAAGGCTTGGATTTTTCTTAACAGACGGAAGGGTGATTGGTTTGTGTTGAGGCGCTACAGCAGGATTCACGCCACTTGAATTTGGCAATTTCATGCTTCTGAAGCCACCAAACATGTCAGCTGGCTTTGCTGGCAGAGCTTCGTTGTCACATTTCAGAATAGGTTTTGGAGCAGGAGGAGGACGTCTTATTGGTGTCGACTGGAAGGAAGGATGGCGTTGAAGTAATGAGGACGCAAGCGGTGAAGGTGCATGTACTTGTGTAGCCACTGACGGTCTCAGCACAACTGGATTGGAAACCGAAGATCCTTCCTTCAAACCAGAACTTTGGGGTTTTGGAGCGTTTGAAGGTTGACAAACGGACTTGGAGATACAAGATGAACTAGATGCGACAGGAAGACTGGGGAGAGCAGCCGGGACGATGGCTGGGCTCTGGGGAATCTGAAGAGCCTCAGTGGCTTTGTTCTCATCAACCAGAGTGAGGGTCACAATGTCTGTATGTGACAGACCCTCAAAGGTGTCCAGTAAAGTGGTGCTGCCGATGGATATATCCAGAGTGCCGGCAGTAATCGAGTCTCCCAAGGTGAGCGCGCTGATGACACACGTGTCATTGGCCACAGAGTCTGACAGTTCGCACGGGTGCTTATCGTCGACATTCGATTCGCAAACTTCTGAAACTTCATCTTTAGTGGAGTCTGATTCCCAGAAAACAATGTGAATTTCTTTGGCAGGAAATGAAAACCTCTTGTGGGTGATGCTGTGAGGGTATTTCAAATCATCGAGTTCCAGCCATGACCCTAAAAGACAGAACACAAACATGTAAATGAACCACTATTAAGTATAAATTTGAATAATAACATTTTACAGAGCAAGTAATCGGAGATAACTAGCAAATTTAGCTGTAAATCTATTTAATAACAGTTGATAATTTTAGTCGATAATTTGTGGTATTTTTGCTTATTTTTGGTAACATGCAAGTAAAACAATGCGGAAGTGTAACGTTTAAGCAGAAAAAATATGGTGTTTTTAGCAACATTAAAATTATTAATTGGCTAATGGGATTCAGAAGAACAACTATATACACTACCATTCAAAAGCTTGGGTTAAGTAAAACTTATGTTTCTGAAAGAATTCTCTAGAAGAATTCACCAGGACTGCATTTATTTGATAAAAAATACAAAATATTTTTTACTAATTAAATTATGTATATTTAAATAAATAAATAAATAATTAGGGTTGTGCCGATAGTATCGTGTATCGACGATAGTCAGAGATATCGACGATAACAGATGTCTTTGTCGATAGTCAAGACGATATTAGGCTCATTCTCCTATTAATGTATTAATCTGAAGTGTGGTGCTGAGGTGAAATAGCAGGGCAATTTGATAATAATAGCCGAATAATAATAATAAAAAAAATAATAATAATAATTATTATTATTATTATTAGGCGGCCCATTATAATTCGGCTATTATCAAATTGTCCCGCTTTTTCATTCAGCACTGTATTTCACACACACACACGCGCGCAAATGAGGATCCTGTAGCCGGTGAAGGAGTTTCCAACCACAAACACAGACACATATCGTCTGCTGATATAAGGTATTTCGTTGCACTTTAACAAGTAATCTGAACGGCCTATATATGTGCAATATTTTAACTGAGCCCTCACTAACAGAGTTTAATGCCACAGTTATGTTAGAACGCATCTCATTCTTGCTTCTGTGGTGGTGTACGTCGGGCTCATCATTGGGCACGCGGTCCGGAGCGCTGTATGACTGATGTATTCGTTTAATTAAAATTTACTCCAAATATATGAACCGTTTTAAATACTTTATATTTAATGTGTTCGTTTATGTCCAATATTTAGTGTTAAACTGTTGGTCTTTCAAATAAATCTACTTTTGATTTATCACAGTTGACTGATTTTGCAGACGTTGCACTTTAACAAGTAATCTGAACGGCCTATATATGTGCAATATTTTAACTGAGCCCTCACTAACAGAGTTTAATGCCACAGTTATGTTAGAACGCATCTCATTCTTGCTTCTGTGGTGGTGTACGTCGGGCTCATCATTGGGCACGCGGTCCGGAGCGCTGTATGACTGATGTATTCGTTTAATTAAAATTTACTCCAAATATATGAACCACGATAATATCGTCTATCTCATGGACTGGCGATATGACGATTTGAAAAATGACCATATCGCCCAACACTTATTTATATTTAAATGTAAATACATTTTACAAATCAATCGTTTTAAATATTTTTGTATTTAACATGTTAGTTTATCAGTATTTTTGAAAGTATATTATTTAGATTCGCGGTGCTTCCATAGGCTCACTCTCTCACGCGCGTGCGGGTTAAAACACCAAATAGTTATGAAATAGCCTATGACAAGTACAGAGAGTCTCTCTCTTGCCCCCACCCACCTATGCACGATAATATCGTATCGCAAATGCAATTAATCGTTCAGCCCTACTTCAGTGTCACATGATCCTTCAGAAATCATTCTAATAAACTGATTTGGTGCTCAAGAAACATTTCTCCTCTTATCAATGTTGAAAACAGTTTTGCCGTTTAATATTTTAGTGAAAACTTGAATAAAAATTTTGAAGGGGACATATCATGAAAATCTTTTTTTTTCGTGTTTAAGTGCTATAATCGGGTCCCCGGGTAAGTTTTTTTTC